AACTTCATCCTGCAGTGCCAGGTCGGTGCTATCTTGTCCTCAAATCTATCGCTGTCTAACCATCCCAGGATCCGGAACTTGGTGGCCTCGCAGACCGACCTGGTGACATGGTTGATGTCTTTCATACCGTGTTTGGCATTGCTGGTCTCAGTCTGTTGAAATACCCAGGTCTCGAAGAGGTAGACCCTGTGTAGTATGTGACCATTACTCTCCCAGTTCATCATGCGTACTGACTGCCCACAGCTGCATGCCTCGATCCGTCACTCGTAGATGCTTAGGTAAGTAGATGTTCAAGTGAGCTACCACTACTAGTCAAATCACACGTGGGTGGTGAGGTGGATGCCTGCCTGCATTCACATATGTTCCTAACCAGTATCTCTTTGCATACCCACGTAATATTCATTCATCAGTCTTCATCCTCCCGCTATCTAATACCTCGCGTTTCTGCCATAGGCGTCGAGACACAAAGCGGGAGGAAAGTGAGGGTGGCTTCCTCTTTCGTTAGGACCGAGCTTTTCCACGTGCTCTGCCTACTAGAACACCACCGACAAACCCATCCTTGCTGAACGCCATTTACTTCAATACTGCACCTTCCCCTCTCCTTCATTACGAGTGCTGGCGTCTGTCTCCTGCTTTCCTTTCATCTACTCCGGAAATGGGCTAGGAGCTACCGCAGTGACCGGCAGCCATCTCTGTACCAGGTCTCTCATGAGCACCTCTCCCACCGTCACTTCACCTCATCAACCCGCTCCTTTCGCAACGCTCTTTGCCTTCACTGCTGTGCTGCTCTTGTGCTTGTTTCACTTACGTTCCTTACCAACGCCGCGTTCACACTACGGCTCTCACTTTAATCTACTGCAGCCTCTTTAGGCCTCCGGCATGGCCAACATTCCGCTTCACTGCAATATTTGCCCCAAAAAGCCCAGCTTCAGCGATGTTTCACATCTACTCACTCATATTGCCAGCAAAGGTCACTTGTCCAATTACTACAAGGTCAAAGTCCGGTCCACCAACGAGGAAGCATCCCGCCGCCTCGTTGAGACGTACGACCAGTGGTATGCCGAATGGGCTGTCGAGGAGCTGATGTCGGAGCGGATGAATCAAAAGGACAAACGTCGCACTCGTGCGAGGACCACTGGTATGTATCTCACCTACATCCCATAATACTTGAGACTGTTACTGACCGCACACGATGTAGCCCGACCCGTGCCCACGCCTCCGCTCAAGATTGAAGCCCCAGTGCCACGCCCCGTACGTCGTGCTGCCGCAAGCAACCTCCTTGATCCGCGTCTATCAGGGCAGCAGCAGCATACCATGATCAAACTGGAGCATTCACCTTCGCCAACGCCCCAGGCTAATGGACCGGTTCTCCGCAACCGCAATACCTTCGCGCCTCATATGCAATATTGGCCTACAGAGTCACGCGCCAGCTCCCGTAGCTACACCAACCAAGATTACGACACGTCTAGTGAATACTCAGACCCGAGCGAGAGGCGGCGACCATACCGGTACACCGCTGCAGCTAAATATGCTATCGAGGACGAGCCTGCCGAGGTCGTGGACCCAATGGCCGTCAGCGAGTCAACCAAACTCAAGGGGGTATACTGGCCTGGGATGGACATCTTCGACTCTGCTACCCCAGAGATGCGTCGTAAAAGGAACCAGAAGAAGGACAGCTCCGTCGTGGAACAACTGGAACTCAACTCTCAAGAAGTTGAGGCTACTGAGCTCATCTTCACCCCATTGGGCACTTTCAAACGCCAACGCAGAATTTCATGCTCTGAGTCTGACGAAGACGATGAGACTGAGATAAAAGCTGAGAGTCCTCAACCGGTGCGCAGACGGCCTGCACTCGCCAATCTTGATGCCAATGCTACTCGCCGCTCTACCAGACAATCCAAGCGACCTGTGTTTCCCTTCCTCAGCCGCAATCAATACGACGAGGACCGCGGTCCGTCTGGGTATGACCACAGTCACAATAACTATGCTCCAAAGCGGAAGCGATTCGAAGTCTTTGAAGACAATGATGATGTTCCGTTCTCGCAACCCAGCAGCATGAATTATCTCACGTCTGGATTCACACATCAAGCATCTCCCTCCCCAGCACCTGTATTCACTTCCTACAAACCCTTCAACGATCCTTTTCAGTACGAGAACAAGGAGAACATCCTACCTCCGTTCCATCAGACAGGTTACAGCAACTTTGACGGGCAACAAAGCAATGGCTACCAGTATCCCACCTACTCCTATGGCATCGGTCCTGATCAGCAGGCCTTGCAGTACACTAGCCATCTCTACAACACCACAAGCGCCTACCACCAACATGATCAGGATGATGATGACCAACGCACGATTACAGCGCCGCCTTCGCCATCTACGAGCTGAGTGCTTATCACTTATGCAGAGCTACCCTTGAACTCCTCAATGCGACACTTACCCCGCGCTGTCATCATGTCGCAACGGATACCCACTTTTCACACTCGTTCCATCTACCGGCTTGTGCGTGCGACTTACCTTTATGCGTTACGTTTTGGTGTTCGATTCCTACATGGCGTTACATAATTTACACCGCGATGACTATCGGCATACGGTATAATGTAGTATGATTTCCTTTCGAGAGACACGCTACGGGATCGCTGGACAGATACTCAGGCATGTTCTTTTCCATTTCTATGCCTCACTCTACTGTAAACTTTCATCGCAAACATGGGCTTGCTGGTGAGAAGCTGGTGGTCATGTACAGTATCGCTGGTTGTTCGTTTACATAATTAATACAGGAGCTGTGATAGAAGCAAACGTGCTATCTGCTACATCGGTATGAACTGCACAGTATAGACATCCGATCCGCGTTTGTACTATCTCGGTCTCATATACGCACGTAGTTCTTTGCTTTCTGCCCAGCCCGCATGTACGTCCCGCTTCAATGTTACTGTGGCGTCGCAACATCCTCAATGGTTTCATCTACTCGTCTTCTCATAGCCATTCTGGAAAATTTCCCCTCTTTTACTCCCACTTCCCACTACCCCCCATGACTTTGTTCCGTCGCACCTTCTCCAAATGCTCCACACTCTCATACCCATTTATCTTCGCATACAACACTCTCAACAATCCACCTACGACCCACATAATCACCCCGCTTACAACAAACAACCCGATTCGTTGGTTTGTCGTAAGTATCGCAAAGATGGGGTAGGGGTAGAAGCCATTCTGGGAGAAGCAAATTTCCTAGTTGGGAGATATGGTAAGCTGGGTGTTCTATGGGGGAGAGAGGCGGGATTCTTACAATCCAAGTCCAATATGTGAAAGCGACAACAGTAGAAAGGGCTAAAGTGATCATAGGCGCAGATTCGTTCATAGGCGTTGTGGGCCATGGTGGGGAAAGGAGGACATAATCGAGCGTTAGGACAACAGCGGGGACAAGATGGAAGCCTAGGTCGTAGATAGCTGGTGGTAGTGGTAGATCCGGAGGCACCAGAAGTTTCCCGTCAATGGCTTTCAAGGTCCAGTATAGTACGCTGATGGTGACTTCAATCGGTGCTGCTACTAAAGCCAGATAGTTCTTGAACCGGAAGAGGTGCTCAGAAAGAGCTACCGCGGGTGGATCTGAATTTAGAGAAGGAGATTTTGAGAGGGCGGTCGATGTGAGATCTGCGATGAGACCGAAGATGAATGTTACTGTGGACAGGGAAAGGCCGATTATGGTCAGAAACTGGAGGTGCCAGCCGAAAGACAAGTTCTAGGGATTCGTTAGACTGTTGGTTTGAGCTGCATGGCTAAGCAATGTACGAGTGAACATAGGATTGGGAAGTTTGCTGTTTCATATGTGAAACACATATTGAATAGCAGAAGTAGCGATTCAAATGCAATTCAGGACGAGTAGCAGTTTGGTACATACGAAGATATTGGGATTATCTACTAGACTTCGTATATGTTAGCTGGTAGTGTATACGAAATTGATAGAAGCAGCACATACAACTTGAAGGAACTATAGAAGCTGATCAGACCAGCGACCTACAATGCAAATCATGTCAACATCTGACCTTGCCTACTCCTGGTCGTACATGTATTGCTTCGTCACTTACGTGCAACGCGCCAGAAAATCCTTTTGATGGTGAGTCGAAACGCTGCAGCGGATGCCGCCGGCTCGTCGTGGGTTCGACTTCTCCGGGCTTTTTCGATGATGCAGCCATGCCGTGTGCTGGAAATTGTAATATGTACAAAAACGAAACGACGCCTGGAGAAGCTGAAATCCAAGGATGCCAAAGAAAGATGATTCGAAGCTTTAGAGATCGCAATTCTTTCGGGTACACAACATGACGTATGGTTTTTCAAATGTTCACCTGCCTGCCAGCCAAGACACGTGGGTCCCACTACGAATGCCGTTTGAGCCTCGGAAGGTTGCCGCATCCGAACATGACTAAATCCACCAGCAACAACATGAGCAATCTGTCTGCCAGACTTCCGTCTCTCGTGGTTTTCCCAATTCAACATGTAGCCCGTTCGTATTGCGTGTACCCATATCATCTGACCTCGAGTCGGTAAGCGACTTGCATCCCGAGAGGCTATACCTCGGCGAATCTCCGAGCCGCTTCGCACCGCAGGCTACGAATCAGACCTCGATCAGGCAGTCCGCATGGCAAAACCTCGGCACGCTTACGAGTGCCACTACGGTAGATTCTGAGTTGCGCCAATGATGCGCACTTCTGCTTCTCCACACAAGCGTCTTGCGATGTACCGATGGGTACGACAATGGTGTGCCTGCCGGAGACACGGTCAGTGTTGCCGAATGGGAATGGGGAAGAGCGGAAGACCTTGAGGTACATATAGTGACGGGTTGTGCACCTTCGGGTGTGGCATAGAGCGCTGATACCCTTTCAATTACCTATTCTTTTTGTTGAGTACATCTATCACTACGGCAGAATAGACGATAGGGTGTGAGCCATCTCACCACTTCTTTGGATTTTTGAGCGATTATTCTTCTGCCCCGCGTTAACGCAAACATGAGTGCGAAGGTTGAAACTGTCCTCCAGTCCTTGACACTAGAGGAGAAGATATCACTCCTTGCTGGGAAGGACTTTTGGGAGACAGTACCTATACCGGATAAGGGTGTCCCCGCCATTAAGGTAGGACCTGCGATCGTACCATCTACCATACTTTACAGCTACTGACATAGTAAAATAGACGTCTGATGGACCCAACGGTGCCCGAGGTGAAGTATTCACAGGAGGCACACGAGCTGCATGTTTTCCTGCAGCAGTATGTTCAGCCGCGACATGGGATCCTGCAAACGCAAAGCGCATAGGTCATGCTTTGGCAGAGGAGACCAAGACCAAGAGTGCTCGAGTGCTGCAAGTCTGCTGATATCAATGCATACACGACGCATGCTGACAAAGCGCCAGTCTTGCACCTACTATGTGCAACCATAGACATCCTCTTGGTGGCCGTAACTTTGAGTCTTTCTCAGAAGACCCGTATCTTGCTGGCAAGATGGCCGCTAACGTTGTAAACGGGCTGCAAGAGAAAGGCATCGCGGCCACTATCAAGCACTTCGCAGCTAACGAGCAGGAAACGGACCGCCTAAAGGTCAATGAGATCGTCTCTGAGCGTGCGCTGAGAGAGATTTATATGAAGCCTTTTGAGATCACTATCAAGGAGGCCAATCCCCTCGCCGTTATGACAGCGTACAACAAGGTCAACGGAACACACGCAGATTCGAATGAGTTCCTTCTCAAGCAGGTCTTGCGCGGCGAATGGGGCTGGGACGGGCTCGTTATGAGTGACTGGGGTGGTGTCAACTCCACGGCCGACTCATTGAACGCTGGACTGGATCTGGAAATGCCTGGACCGACTAGGTGGCGCAGTGCTGATACTGTCCTCGAGGCTGTGAAGAAGGGACAGGTCACCGAAGCCACCATCACTGAAAGAGCGAGAAATGTGCTGAGGCTTATCGAACAAGTCGGTGGTTTCGAGAACCCGGAAATCCCGCCTGAGCAATCTATTGTCGATCCAAAGCACAGTAAACTTATTCGAGATGTGGCAGGACAGGGCATCACCCTCTTGAAAAACGACGGTGTCCTGCCACTCAAGAGAGAAGAGATCAAGGGCAAGACGATTGGTCTGTTTGGTCTAGCAAAGGAGGCTCTTATCCATGGTGGTGGAAGTGCTTCTTTAAATGCCCACTATCGCATCACTCCTGAGGAGGGTCTTAAGGCTGCCTACGGCGACGATGTGGAATTCAAGTTCGCAAAAGGTGCAGCTACATATCGTCTCATCCCTCCTCTATCGAAGGGCTGCAAAGACTCCGAGGGGAAAGATGGCTGGACCATGGAACTGTTCAACAAGGGCAACACCAGTAAGCCCATCAAGACAAAGCACGGCAATAAGGAAGCTGCTTTTACACCTCTGCTCGAGCAAAGCGCCAAAGACAGCGAGGTTAGATTCACCACTACCTTTACGCCCCGTGAGTCTGGCTCGCATTATTTGGGTTGCTCAGGTATCGGTCCCACAGTCGTACATGTTAACGACAAAGTCGTATATGAACAGAAGCACAACTCTCCGGACCCGATGGGCTTCCTCTTCGGCGGAAACCCCGAGAAAGAGTTTCGCGTGCCGTTCACCAAGGGCGAGTCATACAAGATCCAGGTTCATTCTAAGCCACCCGCTGGCGAGTCAGATGAAGGCATCCTCTCGGGTCTTCCAGGTTTCAGACTGGGATTCATGTATGAGGAAGAGCACGACCTAGACATGGCCGCAGAAGCGAAGGACCTCGCAAAAGAATGTGACATCGCCATCGTCTTCACAGGACACACACCTGTATGGGAAACCGAAGGCCAAGATCAAGTTAGCTTCAACCTACCACGCGAAGGCTCACAAGACAAGCTCGTAGAAACAGTCGCGTCAGTCAACTCGAAGACCATTGTCGTAAATTCAACGGGTGTGGCCGTTGCCCTACCCTGGTTAAACAAGGTTTCTGCTTTGATACAAGCATGGTTCCCTGGCCAAGAAGCCGGTAATGCCATCGCAGATATCATCTCTGGCACCGTGAATCCCTCTGGTCACCTTCCAATCTCTTGGCCCAAACGCATTGAAGACGCGCCGGCACACGGCAACTTCCCTGGCACTCGGGACGACAAGGGACAGCTCACTGTCAAGTACGAAGAGGGTATTTTTGTAGGCTACAGGCACTACGACCGCATCGCCGCAGACAAAATCCACTTTCCTTTTGGATTCGGCCTGTCTTACACGACCTTTGTTCTCACTGATGCACGCGTGCCTCAATCGACGCCCGAACAATTTGCGCCTAACGTCGAGGTCACAAACATAGGGGATGTTGCTGGAGCTACGGTTATCCAAGTATATGTCGGCAGGAAAGATCAATCGGCTGAGCATCCTGTCAAAACATTGGCAGCTTTTAAGAAGGTTTACTTGGAACCTCGCACGCAAGCCATTGTGCAGCTTGAGTGTGCGAACAAGGATTTTGCTTACTTCGATGAGGCGAAAGGGAAGTGGACTGTTGATCAAGGACAGTATGAATTCTCATTTGGTCAGAGTGCGGGGCATATCGAGCAGGTCGTCGTTGTTGACGTGGAGGGATCGAGGGGGCTGAAGTTGTAGGAGAAGTATTCAGGATGAGAACACGAAATGATTGATGATTCCAGGTTGAATATGAGCCGTCTTTCTCCTCGTCTCACTAGTTCTTTGGTCCTCAAGACTGCTCGTGTGTGTGGACTTGACACGGTACTATAAAGCGTATGCATTGGCTGTGTAACATGCCAAATATGTGTGGCTTCATTGTGTACTCGAATGGACATTCATGTAGTTCTTCCGCCATGTTCCAATACTACTTGCCCCTTCTTCTTCTTCTCTGGAGCCACATTTAATCCCTGCGTAGGTTTTCCTCTAGTTCTGCCTTTTTCTTCTATGATTCCCTCATCCTTTTCTCGTCTCCTTAAGAATCTTCTTCCACAGGCACATACCCCTCAGCTAACCAACTCCATATATTGAGTCCGATCTTAACGCCCTTTGTAACAGGTAACCCCGCATGCCAGCTCTCCGCATACCCACTCCCATCTCCCCGCATATTCTCCCAGAACACCGCATTCCCAGCAATCGGCTTGAAGATGACCCCCTTGCTTAGATCTTCCTTGGGCCGTCCGTCCTCCACAGTACTCGCCGAGAGATCTGCATCTGTCGAAGAAGCACCGTCACCACACTCAATAAATTGACACCAACTTTCATCTTTAGGCCTCTCTAAACGCGGGAAGTGTGTTCCACCACCCGTGCAATTGGCTTCCAAATACACCATAAAAGAACTGACGCGTCCACTCTTCTTAGTCGCGGTACTCCAGTCGTAGTGGTATGTGTAATGGCCTCCAACGCCATATCTCTGGCTCCATAGTTTCTCAATGAAAGTGTAGGGTCGCCAGCCTTGAAAAACGCGAGCGCGCTCTTCAATACACTTCACTGTTTGGCTGCGGGGTAGGGGAGCTTTTTCCGAGTTGCGGATTGACGGATTGAGGGACTCAGTGCCGGAGGTCCATACGGTTGAGGGTGTGAAATGCGGGTTACTGTAGTAGGCTTTGTTAGTCTCAAGGAAAGACAAAGCCGCAAGAGGAAACACGCTATGTTGTTTGTACTTGGCCAAGACAGGACATGCTACTCCACGAACTCAGGAACATTCCTGTGAGCGATATAGTTCTGTCCATATGCAAATACTAGAACAAGGTACCAAAGTTACATACCTCAATGCCACAACTTCTTTTGCTTCCTCTTCGTCAATGAACCCCTCAATGTACACCACCAATGGTTCCCTGCTCAGGACATAAACTCCTTTGTATGCATGCGCCGCGCAACTCAAGTTCTTCTCTGGAATAACCAGATTCTCCAACTTGGATATTGTATCAACACCTTTTTTCGCACCAAGGCTACTGCCTGACAACGCTGAACCGCCATTCGTACGTGAGACAAGCAATGTCGACAAAGGCGCGCCCGCGAGTATATATGCTAGTGCGGCGAGGAAAGCATATTGAACGAATGATGTTATCGATAGTGAGGACGAATACGAGGACGAGGACGACGATGACGATGCGGAGGAGGAACGTTGCATCGCAAAAACTGCACAAACGACACGCCGCAAGCAAGCAAGAACAATAACGACAGTAACCCCAACCCGAACCCGAGCAAATCCGAACAGCAGAGGACAAAAGCACTGGAACCGAGAAAGCGCGTTAAAGAGTGCTGTGGAAAACACACATCCAACACTCCCCCTTCAAAAGAAATCTGAACTAGACAAAACTAGGAAACAGAGATCCCCACCCGGGTGGCTATGTTATCACCGATATTAAGGGTCCTCGTCCACATCCCGCACCACTCCACGTGTCATGCTGTTGTACCTGTGTTCAGTGCGTCAGATTAAATCGAGGTTGAGTGTTCGCTCCATGGTATGTGCATTTTTGCCCGAGTGTGTCTGGCGTCCAGACAGTGTTTGGGTGAGTACTGTTGTGGCTGGATGCGCTGGATGCACCCTTTTCCGACTTTTACCCCTGGCTTATATAAACACGGGCTGATGCGCTAGATGCAAAGACAGGGAACAAGGGCCATGTGTCATGACCACATGTGATCCGGTCGGTTCTGCATGTAATCTGCGTCCAGGGGTTGCGCGCGTGGATTGTGTTATGCTGGATCCTGGTCTAGGATGTGAGGGTTAGGAAATCTAGAATGGAGGGGCTGAATGCTTCTCCCGAGACTTTGGGCGCTGTACTTTCCACATGTACTTTGCTACTTCATCCGCAGTTCGTAGACTTGCTTGTTTAATGATTATCATCTTCCTTGCACTTTCACTTCCTGGGTCAGAAGCAAGAACACAGCGATCAAGCTTATCGAGTTACCAACAGGTAGCATCAAAGCGAATTTCTGGGATTGCACCTCTATAAACGCCACCCTAATGGTTCAGAAAAGGTATCAAAACGAGAATACAGAAGGCAGGGTAAACGAAGCTCAGAACAATGAGACTCTGGCGTAATGTCGTCAATCTCTCTTGAAATAAAGACAAACAGTTGGTATCCCAAATCTACGCACACCTAAGGAAGAACACTCGCTCGCATGCTGACCCAAGCTGAACAAAGTCGTCTCCTGGGCTCCGGGATGATGTCTTCCCTTTCAAATTAGTCCAGAATGCAAAGATTCTGGCTGTTCAAAATATGCCGTAACATATACAGTCCATACACTGGGTATGGTTCGCGCAAAAGTGGTATCCTCTGGCCTCTCTAACTCGACGTAAAGGGTCTCCCTGCTTATTGGGCATGGACCCGCAATGCTTCCGCTGCCCCCTCCTGTTGTGTCACCTTATCTGATTGGAGCAAACCGTGGCAAGTACTCTGTACAAGTCGATTGCTGTATCACTGTTTCACACCGTTTTCCCGTTCGTGCTGCTCAGCAACTTCACGTGCGTAGAACTCGACCAGCATTGTTCCATACGCCTCCATCTCTTCCAAGGGTACAGCGAGGCGGAAGTCGTTCAATAACAGGAATTGCAGCTCTAAGTGGTTCAACTCAACTAACGGTAGACCGCCGACCTTGATGTTGTTAGCAAACGTTTACATATTTTGTATCGACGAGTACAGACCTTCGCATATCTCGAGTTTGTATAAAAGACGTCAGAGAAGAACTTGCTGGCGCACGTAACACCGGCTATGACGAGACGATGTATGTTGAAACTGTCGACAACGAAAAAGTGTGAGAGGTTCAGTGCGTCCACGTCGAGATCTTGCTGAGGCGGTGAAGGCGGCTGAGGGCCCTCGCGTGGTGTTTGCGAGGGCTTGCCTAGGGAGCCTGACGGAGGAGGCGTGGCCGCCTGAGCAGAAGCTGATGCAGGTCGTGTGCTATCTGCGGGAATCGAAGCCGCTGACATTGCAGACTTTGATTGTTCCACAGACTGTTGATTAGCCTTGCGAAGACCAGACATAGGGCCAGCATTTACCCTCTCTGTCATCCTGTCGAAGTAGACGAGTAAACTCAGGAAGACCTCATAGGTGGTTGGGCAGTATTTGTGAATTCTACTCAGATAGCTGAGGATAGAGATGCTGGGGACGTTCTTTCCATGAAAGGCCAAGACGCTGGTTGTCTGTTGGCTCAACCCTGAGGTACCCTCTGATGGCGGGATTTGGCGGTGCAGATGGTCGTGCTGCCGATCGTTGGTAGTCGTGATCTTGGTCAGCAAACCAGCCACCATTTCGATTATGTCTGACACGGGCATCTCGCTGATCTCGTACTGAGGCCCGACGTCTGCAGGGTCTCGTCGCTGCCGCCGTGCAAGCGAGCGCGACTGGGAAAAGGGACTGGACTCATCGATGGCGAAGCTCTGGATATGCGACAGACTCTTTACTTTTATCTTGGTAGGAGAGGCTTCGGGCGATTGCAAGGACTGTGCTGGACCTGACGAGGGAACGGTTCGGGTGTTTGTGAAGGCGGGGTCTACGCCCGACGGGGTCGGCTGTTGTGAGTGGGGACGAAAGTGCGGACTGGGTGGCGTCGGTGCTGCTTGTTCGGCAGCGGGTGCGGTGGTGTTGGGCTCGGAGCTGTTTTGCTGCTGCGATCGCTGGCCTGGTGTTGAGCTCGACTGCGGGGCTGCCGAATCGGCCATGGGAACATCAGCAGACGGAGCTACCACGCGCGGCGCATTGGTGCTCGAAGACGGCGATGGCCGTACGGGAGTGTGACGCCCGACAGGAGACTCTTGTGACTGATGCGTGCTGCCGCCGCCAAACATGTTGGTGTGAAAGTGGTTCCCACCGAAGTCGCTCACCAAAAGCGAAGTCATTCCGCGAAACCAGGCTGCGCAGGGACGTCGAGTGCAGCGGGTCTTGACGTGGGGGAAGGCGCGGCACAGCGAATGCTTGCGGTGCACCAGGGAGTGTGCTTGCGAGGCAGAGTGGATCGGTGAGAGATGTCGGTCGTGTTGTTGAGCCTTATCGGAAAGAGCCCGAAGTTGGACGCAGCTTAAAGGGGCGCAGGTATCGCGTGCAAGCCTGCTGCTCTCTGCCGTAGCCAAAGTAAATTGGACGGCACGCGTCGAGTCAAGGTAAAGGTGAGGATGCGCGCAGGATGGGCTTCCAGCGTGAAGAGTGATGAGGTGTTGTTCGACAAAGGCGTGGGGAACCCAAACGTCACAGACCAACGACTGGCGAGGTCCCAAGAGACCCTGGCCGCAATTCACCTGCACCGTCCAAAACGCATGTGACGACACTGTGCATCTACTCTCTCTCTCGTTTCGGCACTGCACGCATCCCGCCACAATTTGCAAAACACTCGAGATGGTCCTCTGCAATTCGGACCGTCCCGCCACGTGAGAGGATGGATGGAACAGGGCCACGCCAAAAAAAACACCGGCGACGAATGCCCTGATGCTGACTGTTGATTGGCCATTGGTTGCGCCTCCATCCCACGCCTACTGCCCGAGTTCCGGTGCATCATGGTAACCATGGATTCCTTTTGTCTCATTTCGCTCATTCAGGTATCATCATCATGTCGTGCTATATCATACATGGTGTGCCTATGTACCCACCACCGTCATGACGACCACTTCTACTGCTTGCCTGGCCCATCGTAGTTCTGGTCTGGCAGGTATAGATGCCTCTGCGCGCCCTTGCCTGTGAGCACCACCATGCGAATCACACCGCCCGAGCTGCCGTCCCACTTGATGGCTTCTGAGAGCGCGCCCTTGACAAACTTGATGCCTTCCTCCTCGCTCATGTTCTCCCTCCAGTTTGCGTCGCAGTATCCATAGATGTACGTTGAGCCTGAGCCGCCAATTGCGTATGACTGCTTGTGCAGGGAGCCTCCGAGGGGAATCGAGTATACCTGTCCGCCGTGGCGGTGGTCCCATCCGGCAATAATGAGTCCAGCTCTGCAGTTACGTCAGTGACGAGTAGTCGCACGGCCGTGCCTTACTCACGAGAGTTGGTCCTTGTTGGAGTAGCAGAGCTCTTGGAAAATGGCTGCTGCAGTCTGTGTGGTCGGTGGCTCGTCGTTGGTGGTACCGTACATGCCCAGGTGATATTGCACGATATCCGCGACAGCCTGTGTATCTGCAGCTGATCCCGATCTGCAACACCAGATGGTGTCGTGCACTTGTGTGAGCTTGTCGGTGACACGGTTCGCGATGTATGCTCCGGTCGTCGTCCTACTGTCGGCAGCTAATATGACGCCGTCTTTGAAGTTGATGGCCATGATGGATGTTCCAAGGCTAGGTTGCTTGTTAGCACTCTGGCAGCGCTCTTGGCCCACAAACAACTCACTTGACCTCACCCTTCTTGAGGTGGTTCATGTCGACATGGATGCCATCTACGCAGTGTGAGTTTCCCGCAGTTCACTTGTTTGTAGCGGCAAATGTACCTTCTCCCAACATGCCTGTGGACATCATTGTTGCGGTATGAGCTGGTCTACTATAGAGAGGGATGGTTCGACAAGTCCGAATGTCCGAGAAGCGTGTGGTGGAGGCAAGAGAAGCTGTGGGGTGAGTGAGTAGCTGCTACAGGTGGTGGTGTAGGCAGCTCGACGGTACGCGGCTGGTTTTCCTTGGCGTTTCGCTATTGGTCTCAACCGCTAGCTGTAACATGCGACACCCTCTAGGCCTCACTCACATGCGGTTGCGCACCGTAACCCCATACTACATTTTCCTGTCTGGCTCTCCGAATGGTCGAGTCTTCCATTCCTTCTCCATCTCCCTCACCTAGGCTGCTATTCTCGCGAAGTCGCTCGGCACCTGAGCCCCGATCCATCCTACGCCCCACAGACCCCCAAGTCCGACCAGGGAGCATGGCTTCGGCATTGGACACGTTCATGTCCTACCTGCGCGTACCTATCCTAGCATCCTCTGGTGTCGCCGCCCTGCTCAGCGGTCTCCTATACTTCAAGCAAAAGTACACCATCTTCTGTTCCCTCGTTGGAATCTGGCTAATGGTGATAGCGAAATCATATACCCCCGGGCTTTCCCTCCAGACGCTCGAACGAACGTACCCAGGCCCTCGCAATTCGCCATTACCGACTATGAGGAACTGTTTATCCCTACCCCGGACGGCGAATCCCTAAGCGCATTCTTCATTCGAGCCAACAAGCAACATGCGCGCAATGTAACAGTTCTCATGTTCCATGGCAACGCTGGCAACATCGGCTACAGGCTTCCCATCGCAAAGATCCTCGAAAATGAGTTGCGGTGCAATGTGTTGATGTTGCAGTACCGAGGCTATGGCTTGTCTTCTGGCAATCCTAATGAAAAGGGGCTCATGATTGATGCGCAGACCGGGTTGGACTATATCCGCCAAAGGCACGAACTTCGAGACACCAAGGTTGTGATATACGGTCAGAGTATCGGTGGTGCAGTTGCCATTGGACTGGCTGCTCGTAACCTTAAAGAGGGCGACATCTCCGGCATCATCTTGGAGAATACCTTTACCTCGATCAAAAAACTCATACCGACGTGAGTAACTTCGTTAGATTTGGAGGTCATCACTAACCTGGAGTAGTGCTTTCCCTCCTGCTCGCTTCTTGACTCCTCTCTGCCACCAGATCTGGCCTACTGAAGAGACACTCCCTAAGATTACCAAGATACCTATTTTATTCCTCAGTGGTCTCAAGGACGAAATCATTCCGTAAGCGCATACCCTAGACATGGACCGTTTGCCGGTAGGCTTTCAGTTTGCTGACCGCTTTACAGACCTTCTCACATGACTAAATTGTTCCAAGTCTGCAAAGCACCAAAAGTTTGGAAGGAACTACCGAATGGAAGCCACAACGACACCGTCGCAGAACCACGCTATTTTCAATACATTGAAGAGTTCCTGACTGAATTCGTAGCTCGCTGAAGCCAGTTCTGAACAAGAAATAGTTATTGACGGCAGTTGACAAATATGCTGAGCCAGTCCTGCACTACTGCTTCACTCGTGTAGTGCGAACCACAAAGGAAGCCGCAGGACCGGAAACAGCTGGAGCGAGCGTATGATATGTCACTGGTTCTTTTCTATTGGCAGGATTTCCGACCCGTTCCGAGGTCTATACACTACTAGGCCGACGTCGCAAGTCACGTATGGGATCCATAAGGTTTGTGTCTACTGCGCGGGCAGCGTATGTATACGCTGTGAGCGTTCCGGAGCAGCCGATATGTACTTTGAAGTCCCCAGCATTCTGAAACGGACATGCACATATTCCCTGGGCTGAACTTTTATGCGGCGTCGTGGACCGACGCGCCAACACCGGTAACGAAAATGTACTTTTGGTGGCAAAATGGCACCACATAGTATGCAACCGGGTCACGTCGTGCAGCACTCGCGAATATACAGATCGCGATCGAATGCATGAGCGACCAGTAATGAGTGCTTCTCCGTAGACTAGCCGTGATTTGTATTTGCAGCCCCTGTTAGCTATTCTTGCAAGAGAACCATTAAACTTGACGGAGTGTTTAGATTTTGCTTCACAAGGGTCCACGTTTACCGAACACGTGCAAAACCTGAGATGTGGGGTGACGGCGGATCGCCAGGGGCGAGGTACATGTCTCAGCCGGCTTATCGATGCAAGATTTCTCAAGACGGGGGCATTTTATCGAAAGATCATCCTTCACAGCCTCAGTCGCTTCACTACTGCATCTGCATTTGCATCGTACGACACGCAAACGTGTACGGACAGTCGGGGGAAGCTATTCGGACGAACCGGCTATACCGGAGTTTGAATTCACGACACAGTTACTATGCACCGCGCATTTGGAGCACCCCCGCAGGGTTCCAGCTGGGCCTCTGGATACGCAGAGGCTCTACAGTAGTGCCAACGCTCGCGTTCGCGACCGGACGCTGATTCGATGAAGAATCTGTGCTGGACCCTGTAAACGGATGCTAGCACCGCCACTGCGGTAATGTGGGCGCGCGATGTCAAAGCTTGACGTTTCCCATATCACTAGTGACCGGGAATGTGTAAGTGGGATTCACGGCACATGGACATGTTGGCATCGCAATCTCTTATTAGGCCGAAGACGGGTGTTTTGGCAGCACTCTTGTTGCTGCCCAGCGGTGCGACAGCGTGGAGCCTCAAATCGTTCGACGTTGATCGAGTCGACTTGGACAAGCTCATGATCTGCAGATCTATTCTTGTAACACTATCGTCATTCTCACACCCTGGCAGACGGGACAGACGTTTCGTTCATTGCTCGCCCGGGTGTCGATCATGACCGCGCGGGATCAAGTGTGGTGGCTGTGCTGTGGCGCGCAGATCACTGTAATGGTGCGGTCTCGCCGAGGGTGTGGCGAAAAGCCCTCTGCACTGGCAGCCCAGAACCAGTTCCCATGTTTGAGCAAACGGTTTCGGACCATTCTGTCCAGCCGTCTGCCGAGAGCATGCCGAGCCCACTGCAAACTCGTCAAGCGTTGGTTTGCACTGGTGTGTTCGCATTCATGGAAGCGAGTGCTGACATCTGGCGGCCCACCGTCTCGCCGTCGCGCTATGGCGCTAAACCTGTATAGGTCCCAGAGCCATCCCTGCCCGCTCCATCTTTCTCCCCCCCTCGTTTCGACCCCCTCCCGCCGCAGGGTCACCAGGGGAGTACCACCGCCCAGACAGCCTACTACGAAGCCACTCAACAGCGCCCCAAGATGCTTTTACCGGGTCCCTTGTCAGCTCCTTACGCTGGCTCCATGCCTTGTCATTATCGTGACGCCCTAATGCTGTCCACGCGGCGTCCATGGCTCCTCCCTGTTTCCTAAACGGCCGGAGTCTTCTGGGCGGCTCAGTTCGTGCATGTCGCGTCTGGTCCACCGTCGTTGTAGCTCCCTCAATTGGTCAGCCTGCCTTGCATGCATGTCCGGCCCGTTCTCATGGACGGCGTCAAATTACTTCATCATCTTGATCTAGGCAGAATTGTTACAGTGCAAGCCGGTGCTAGCGGACACCCTGGTATTATGGTCTTGGAGCGCTTTTGTAATATAATGCTTTCTTCTACTTTCTCGGCAAGTTTCGATTCGAGAGATTGACGCGAGCACTTCCGCGCCAACTGCTTTTCGGTATACAGAACAAACCCTAAATTTCCGCCTGCCGGAGATTGCTAGGAAGGGCCCGCTAAGCTTTCGTAAGATAGTCTATGATCAGCGCTGTCGGCCCATGGCATTCTAGAAACGGTATCACTCGCCACGTCCGATGATATACCACGTCCGTAACACTTGTTTTCTACTACTCCTTGACTCAGGTACCCAATTATCTTCTCCCCGCTGGGCTTTTGGTGATCGTTTCGCCTCCAGAGCATCGGTTTAGACCCTGTCATTCTACGTCAATCCTGTCAGCCACGGCCAGCCTTCCGACAACCAATCAAGCTACGGTCAGTTACTGCGGCCAGCGGCGATTGAGGCAGAAAACTCGCGAGATCCCTCTTGTGGCCTTCCCGTTCCTACCAGGCCAATCAATGAGCTCATCCTCGGGACCCTAGCTCCTAATATCTGCCGCACGTACGCTTGCCCATTGCGGTCCCTGCCGTTGCGCCGTCTCCAACCTCATAAGGGCTTTGAGAGATCGCTTCTGCCGTCTTAGTGGTTGTGTGATTCTGACCATCATCTTCGTTCCGCCCTAAGCGAGCTCCTTCTCCAAGGTAGTACATCAACCGAAGTCGTTCATCTTCCCTCAAACGGTCTCTCCTCCTGCCGGCTTCTTTTTTTACATGCGATCACCTCACAGCCTCCCTTATCCATTGACAAACTTTGTTCGTCATCTCTCCTAGGAAGCGACTTACTTTCGGTACTCGTCACTTCCGGGTTGCCACACCTCTTCAAGGATACGTTGATATAGAATTAGGTATGTTGCATTCTCCTATGTTCGGAAGTTTGGTTCGAATCGGGCCTTTATACTTTCGTTTTTCTAGACCTCGTTGTATGAGTTGTAGTATGGACTAACATGGCTTTCGTTTGGGTCCAACAGTGGGTACCACTTCCTGTCGTTTACGAACAACAACACATGGGCGACCTACCACCTGGTCCACGGCCTCATGCCATGGACAACGCGACAACTGGTCTTGCGCGTGACGGAAATACTTCCGATTCATTTCCAACATCCCTCAAATCTCCAGACAGTAGCGATCCGTTCTATTCTCAGCTCAGTGGCCTACCTCATGGCCAACTACGACCCGACTTTCGATCATCGACCCATGCGAACGGATCTCACCAGCCCCAGGAACATGGTACATCACCACTGAACATGGGCGCCATGACAGGCGCACTACCCAACTATGGCACCAACGACAATGCTTCAACGAATCCGCAAACGGTACCCCGCTCGTTGTCTGGCGCATCCACGTCAGCTGTGGCATACCAGCTCGGACAGAACCTACAGATGACTTCTAGCAACATGTCCACTCATGCTTCATACGGACCTGGATTTGCTACTGGGCTTCCCCAACAACCCTTCATGCCTCAACAGGGCTCACAATACAGCGCCTATCCTTCCTTCGCGACAAACCAGCCTCGTCTAGCTGGGGTGGCACCGATGCCATCCCCATACCAGAGCTATCAGCAGGCGTCACAGTACATGTACTATCCGGCGCCATACGGACCACAAGGGCAATTCAACCCCGGGTTCGGTACTCAGAATCAATTGATGTACGAAAGGAAGGCCAGTTTGATGAACACGGGTATTCAAGGCCACGTTGCCGATTATTCGCATGTCGATGGCGGCTTCTCGGGTGTTCGCATGGCCACTGGAAATTTTCTAGGGGACTCGATGTCTCCATACGGTGCACCATTTGCACAATCTCCTGGTAAGTATACAGAAGCTTGTCCTTACACATAATACCATTGGAGTATCGTATGTGCAGTTGCTGATGTGACCATAGCCATACCTCGCTCTGGGCCAATGAGTTCCATACCTCGCGGGCCGCCTCGCAAACCGAAACAGTCTGGACACGCACTTTGGGTTGGCAATCTCCCACCTGGAACCACGATAGTCGCCTTGAAGGACCACTTCTCTCGCGACGCTACCAAGGATATCGAAAGTCTGTTTTTGATATCCAAGAGCAACTGTGCGTTTGTCAACTATCGCACGGAAGCATCGTGCACGGCTGCAATGCACAGATTCCACGACTCACGCTTCAACGGTGTGCGCCTAGTCTGTCGACTTCGACGCAGCTCTGCTCCGGCATCAGGCGTCCCTACAGCACCCTCGGCTATGATAGGCCAGCAAAAGAACGCTTCTCGGCCAGCGACACCGACGCAGGACAGTGTCACTGATAATCTTACAGAAGACGCGGCCGGCTCACCATCGCACAAGAGTATTGAAGATCACAGATCATCTGCCGATACTGCCACGAAATACTTCATTGTGAAAAGCCTTACGCTGCAAGACCTGGAGCTCAGTGTTCGGAACGGTATCTGGGCTACACAGTCTCACAATGAAGATGTACTGAACAAAGCATTCCAGGTAAGTGCATAACAAACTCCATGCCTGTGAGAGCTGGCTGACAGAACCCAGTCTGCTGAGAATGTCTACCTCATCTTCTCCGCGAACAAGTCGGGCGAGTACTTTGGTTACGCCCGTATGGCGTCACCGATCCTCGAGGATGGCGCTCCTATCACAGGCTCGGCACCCAAACCAGAGACGATCGCAGATACGACAGACGTGCCAAAGTCGATCGCAACCCCAGCAACAGAATGGGCACCTCGTGGAAGAATCATTGACGACTCTGCGCGCGGCACGATTTTCTGGGAAGCAGAGCTCCCCAACACCGATGTTGAAGAGGAGGGTGAGGACAAAGGCGACAAGACTGACAGAGACGAGGCGCCCCAACCAGCCGAAGGCGATACTTCAGCCGTGCCACAGAGCTGGGGCAAGCCCTTCAAGA